GACAAAGAACTAAAGTCCCCTTTGTACTTTCGTCCGGGACTCTGAGAGAGTCTTGGGTTGGTCTGGCTCCCCACAGCAGTGAATACTTGTAACCTCAGTTCTCAGGAGATGGAGACAGGAGGATTTGGTGTTCAAGGGCATCCTTGACCACATAGCAAGTTTGATCTTTTTCTTGGTTTTGCTGTCTGATATTCCCTTAAGGTACCAGACTGAGTCAGTCTGTCACACAGTCCAGAACGCAAGCAACCCATACCTCACAGTGTACCATGTTGCTAAGTGATGATGTTTATTGGTTAGAGACATTCAATACACTTTGGTCTACGATGAGTCAGTTTACATGGGACAAAGTACACAGTTCAGTCAAGAGTGTTTATAATGCTATACAAAGCGAACACACTTTTTCTCCCATGAAGCTTACATCCTAGTGGGGCAGTCAGATAAAAACTTAGTCATCAAGGTTGGGCAGGATGGTGCATGCTGGCAATCCTGGTGCTTGGAAGGTATATTGCACGTGTGTGCCATCACATCCAGTTTATCCAGTGTTGGGACCAAACCCAGGGCTTCAGGCAAGCCAGGGCAACAACTGGTCTACATCGTCAGCCCCGCACCTATGCTAAGTCCCTTTCCTCTTTCATCCGCTGTGTTTTCGCTCTTTCCTAAGGCTCACATTTCCTCTTACACACTCTCTGCTCTGCCTGCATCCTCCCTGCTCCATTCATGGGTTATTCTGTCCCTCCTTCCCCCTGCCTCCTTCCCTCTCTCTCTGTCTCTGTCTCTGTCTCTCTCTCTCTCTGTCTCTCTCTCTCTCTCTGTCTCTCTGTCTCTCTCTCTCTCTCTCTCTGTCTCTGTCTCTCTCTCTCTCTCTCTCTCTCTCTCTCTCTCTCTCTCTCTCTCTCTCTCAAGTACCACGGATTGAGGCACTTTATTTACTTTGGGAAACAATTTTTTTTTGTTTTTGTTTTTTGAGACAGGGTTTCTCTGTATTGTTTTGGAGGCTGTCCTGGAACTCACTCGGTAGACCAGGCTGGTCTCAAACTCACAGAGATCCGCCTGCCTCTGCCTCCCGAGTGCTGGGATTAAAGGCATGCGCCACCACCACTTGATGGGAAGCAATTTTAAAAAGGATTTGTAGCTGGAAGTTTTTCTCTGTCTTGTCCAGTTCTACTGGACTGGTTTCTCTCCTGACCACTGGTTCCCACAGTTGCTTATTAAATCGTCATTTTGAGGCCTAATATTAATTATAATTGCTTGGCCAATGGCTCAAGTTTCTTACTGGCTCTATCTAGCTCTACCTATAAATTAATCCATTTTTAATATCCTATATTTTGTCACTATGCTCGTGGCTTGTTACCTCACATCTTGCCTCTCTGGTGGCTACAAGGTGTCTCTCTGACTCCCCTTCCTTCTCTTGGCAGCCTGTTTGGATTTCCCAGCTGGTTGTATTCTGCCTGGTCTTTGGCCAAATCAGCTTTATTCATCAACCAATAAAAGCAACACATATTCTTAGCATACAGAACATCCCATATCCAAGGATTTATTTTGAATTATTTATAAACGCATGTGTTTGTGTGGAGGTATGTGATCACACATGCAGTTACTCTTGGAGGCCAGAAGAGGGTGTTCAGTTCCACGGAGCTGGAGCTACAGGTGATGGAGCTGTGGTGCTGGGAAATCACATTTGGCTCCTCTGCAAGAGCAGTATGTGCTTTTGCTTTCAACCACTGAGCCATTTCTTCAAACTCACTTTTTAATATTAAATTATGTGTGTGTGTGTGTGTGTGTGTGTGTGTCTCAGTGTGGGTTTGTGCATTTGAGGGCAGTGCCTTTTGGAGGCCCTCCTCTCCTTCTCCTTTCTTTCATTCCTCTCAGACTAGATTTCTCCCCCTGTTTATTCTCTCTGCCCGGCAGCCCCACCTATCCCTCTCCTGCCTAGTTACTGACCATTCAGCTCTTTACTAGATCAGTAAGATGTTTCGAGCGGCCAAAGTAACACAGCTTCTCACACTTAAACAGACGAAACATAAAGGAACGCAACACATTTTTTGCATCATTAATGTTCCACAGCATAAACAAATGTAGCACATCTTCAAATAATATTCCACAACACACTCCCATCACACACACAAATTTTTAAATAAAAAACCCTTAAATTGAACCTTTACCTTCTGATAATTTTTGACCTATTTTATATGACCCTTTATAGTCCCACAGATTTATAAGTAATTTGTGATGGGGGATGTCCTTCTGTATGCTGTGAATATATGTTTATCTTATTGGCTGATGAATAAAGCTGTTTTGGCCAATGAGCAGGGAGGATGTAGCCAGGCAGGAAGTGTAGGCAGGGCTACCAGACTAGGAGAATGCTGGGAAGAGGAATGCAGAAGGTGATTCACCAAAGTGACGCCATGTAGCTGCTGAGAAATCAAGAGACTCGGGTGTCACCTGCAAGCCAAGACCATGTGGAGACACACAGATTAATAGAAATGGGTCAATAATTAAGAGAGAGCTAGCTAATAAGAAGCCTGAGCCATAGGCCAAACAGTTTATAACTAATATAAGCCTCTGTGTGTTTATTTGAGACTAACCGGCTGTGTGACCAGGTGACACAGAAACTTCCGGCCACAAATTTGCATGCTGAATGCTGACTCCTATGCAAAACCAATTTATAGAACTCAATCTTTTATAGATCAGCATCACAAAGATCTAATAGTGTGTGTGTGTGTGTGTGTGTGTGTGTGTGTGTGTGTGTGTGTGTGTGTGAGTAGGCACAGGCTGTTCTCCTTCTCTTACCAGTGAGTTATGCACTGGTTTTTCTTTCTATCAATAAGTGATCTCAACAAACACTCAGACCCACCGGCAGGCAAACCAGGAGCCATCCCCGGTCACTCCCCTTTCCTTGCTTTCATGTCTGGTTTGCTGGTAAATTTCATTCATACTCAAAAATTGATCCCTTTTGATCACTCTTACTTATGTCAGATTTGATCATTATTATTATTTTTTGACCTAAATTTCTCAACTCGTTTCAACCTTGCCTCAGTGTATTCTTCTGATGTATTTGCTACACATCAGGTAGGGTGACTATTTTATTTGCTTTAACCAGGAATAGTTTCGTTAGAATAAAGACTTTGAAAGTACTATGGAGGTGAGTCAGTGGCTAAAGGGCTTGCCACCAAGCCTGAAGACCTGAGTTCAAACTCTACCATCTACATGATAGAAGAAAAGGATTCCTGTAAGTTGTGCTCTCTCTCTCTCTCTCTCTCTCTCTCTCTCTCTCTCTCTCTCTCTCTCTCTCACACACACACACATACAAGTAAATGTAAAAAAATAAAATTACATAAATTGTAGAAAAAGTGACTTTGTTAAAGAACAAATATACTATATAATGCAAAAATTTACATGAAGATAAAAATAAGACCAATCAGCATCACCTTATAGAACAGTCCTTTTTCATAGTCCATAAACACACATTTAGTTTTTTAAAACCAAGACACTACTACATACATACCATTTTGTGACTTGGCATTTTCCTCTTTTTTTTTCCCTTTGGATTTTCAAGACAGGGTTTCTCTGTGTAGCCCTGGTTGTCCTGGAACTCACTCTGTAGTCCAGACTGTCCCCAAACTCACAGCAGTCTGCCTGCCTCTGCCTCCCATGTGCTGAGATCAAAGGCATGCATCACCACACCTGGCGACTTGCCATTTTCTTAATGACCTCCATGTCTTCATTCACACTTCAACTGTCCTGAAAGGCATGTTATAGCTTGTCTGTTCAGAATAGGATCTAGCTCAGGTTATAATGTCTCTTAGATTTCTTTTCATACAACCATTGGTTTTTCCATGATGATAACTTGTCGAAGTTTACACACCAGTTATCCTCTAGAATATTGTAGAATTTTTAATTTCACCTGATGTGTTTCTTATAAATTGTGTGTTTTGGAGCTGGAGAGGTGGTTCAGCTGTTAAGAGCACCAGCAGCTGCTCTTCCAGAGGACCCAGATTCAATTCCCAGCACCCACATAGTCGCTCAACATTGCTGCACATCAGATTCCAGTAGATCTGGTGCCATCTACGACCTTAGTGGGCACCACGGACAAACATGGCACACAGATATATATGCAGGCAGAACACTCATACACATAAAAATAATTTAGCAATTAAATATTGTGTTTGATAAGAAGGCTTGATAGATTCAAGTTAGTTTTTCGTGGGGGTGTTTCATAGACGATATTGCCTTTTAAGTTCTGGATACGGGACACTCACGCTTTTGGTCTGGGAGGCTCTCCCTCACCCAAGTCCTCTCCATTTTTCCCTCCTTTAACGTCCAGTCAGCTTCTCAAAATGCGGGCATCGTTTTAGGTTCATAATCTGGGAAACTGTTTCTTGCTTATGGTATGTTCTTCTAAGAGATCTGTCTTTATTTTCCGTCGTATGTTCTTACCTGGCCGAGTGCACAAAGCAGGGACTTTGCTACTTTGAACCGAGGACCTGCACACACAGTGGGCCTTGAGTCATACATCGCAATACCCCCAGGGCCTGCAGGCCGGCCCCTATAGAAGAAATTATTATAAGAGTATTTCACTACAGAGTGTAATAGTTCCAGATACACAAAATTAAATTTAAGTAACTAAAAAGAAAAATACAATTAAAATATTTAAAAAGAAAAAACACAATTTAAAGAGAAACAAAAAAATCTTTTTTGAGCCGACGCCTTTAATCCCAGCACTCGGGAGGCAGAGGCAGGCGGATCTCTGTGAGTTCGAGGCCAGCCTGGTCTACAGAGCTAGTTCCAGGACAGGCTCCAAAGCCACAGAGAAACCCTGTCTCGAAAAAAAACAAAAAAGAAAAAAAGTCTTTTTGAAAGTTTAACCATCGCACTAGGCGAACGTCTGATCGCCTCGCGCAGGCGCCACAGTGGCAAGACCAGGCGAAGGACGACGCCGTGGCGACACCGTCATGTGACCGCACGGCGCGCCCCTCCGACTGCGCCTGCGCACGGGCTCCCGGAAGTGGCCGGCCTGAAAGCGCTGGCGGCTCAGTCCGTCGGCCCGTCGGTCCGCTCGTCCGCTGCCAGTGCTGAGCGCGCCTAGGCCGTGGTCCCCGTCCCTCCGTGTCTCCGGCCCGAAGCGGCGGCCGGGCGCTCACCATGTCGTCGTTCATCTGGGTGCAGCTGAAGAAGACGTCGGAGGTGGACCTGGCCAAGCCGCTGGTGAAGTTCATCCAGCAGACGTACCCGAGCGGCGGCGAGGAGCAGGCCCAGTACTGCCGTGCGGCCGAGGAGCTGAGCAAGCTGCGGCGCTCGGCGCTCGGCCGCCCGCTGGACAAGCACGAGGGCTCGCTGGAGACGCTGCTGAGGTGGGCGCGGGCCGCGGGGCTCCCTTCCAGCCCCGGCCTCCCACCCTCCCTCTCGCCTCGGAGTCCCTCCCTCCCTCCTCCCCAGCGCTGGCCTCTCCACTCTGACTCAGGCCAGCGGCGTAGGTGTGGTCAGCGTTCTTTCCTGGTGAGAGGACTTGCCACCCTGCTCTCCCTTCCGGGTGGCCGCTGTCACCTAGGAGCCTCCCTTACCCGGGTGGCAGTCGGCCACGTAATGGTCTCTCTGGTCGCAGCCGTTTGACTGGTTCTCACTTTTTGAGTCTTAAAACTGAAGACTCCTTTTAACAGTCGCTGTTTATGATTGTATCGGGCCCCATCTAGATTTCCTAAAAACGAGTTGCACCAGGGAAGTGGGTGAATCGGATCACTGGGCCAAATGTTGGCTGTTCATTATGGTGTTTCACTTGAAATAAGTCTTAAGTTCAAGATAATCGAATGACAGGTTGACAGTTGTAAAAGTTAGGAGTTTAAAGATAACTCGAGAGACTTAAATAGACCACTCAGTGGGTTCCTTAATATCTGTTGACAGGAATGGGGGTGGGGGAGAGGGGGTGTGTGCACATGTGGAATACATTGGTTCTTTTTGACGCTGGTATTTCATGATGACACCATTTCTGTGGTACCTGATGATCCAATTTCCTGTAATACGATCTCCTTGTTTCATGCAAGAGGCACGGGTGTATTAGGGTGGAGTTGCAGAAACCCCGATTTAGGTAGCTTAAGCCAAGACATTCTGGGGACAAGAGGTGTCTGGAGACATCCCTTTCTTAGTCTTGCCACCATGATACTTCTTCATCGGCGAGCTTTGTGCATTGAGAGATGGCCACCGGCAGGTCTTACCGTACTATAATGGCTCCCAGCACCGACCGAGTAAACTTTGTTGAAAGTCTATGGAGGCTCCTCTGCTTTGGTTGGACTGTATACATTAATGATGCGGGGAATGCGCCAAGTTAATGACCTTTGGGTTACCCAGGTGGTTTAACTTCTCTGCTCTCCATGGATGAAAGAAGGATTAACTTGGGATGGGGAAAGGTTGGTTCCCCAAAGGAAGAGATACTCGATAGGTTGCTCAGAGATTCTGAGCCTTTGGTGTCAAGTTTAGAGCTAAGACTGTTGGATTGCAAAGATCAGTAGTCTGATAGAATAAGCACTTTTTAAGGCAATGAAGGAATACTTGACCCTGATTTTTAGAATTAATGTAAAGATTTCAAAGTTATTCAGACACCAGTAGCATTCAGTGAGGCGTGCCCCCCCCCTTTGAAACAGGGTTTTGTGTATCCCTGGCTGGTGTCAAGTTCCCATTGTAGCTGAAGATGACTTTGAACTTCTAATCCTCATGTTTTCAGGGTGATGGGGTTTTAACCCAGGGCTTCATGCATGCTAGGCAAGCACTCTGCCTACTGAGCAATATTCCCCTGAAGTAGTTGTGACGTTGAGTAGTGAATTAATGGGCTCATGCATGCTAGCCACCAGTGAGGTACGCTCCCAGGCCTTTAAAATATTCAAAAAACTTATCTATTTAGTGTGTGTGTGTATGTGAGAGCGTGCACGTACACACCTGTACACTACTGTACCCCCATGCTGTATGTAGTCTTTCCTATATGACACTTGCTTAGGTTCAGCATTATTTGATAGCTCCCCAACTACCAGTGAATTAAATTGAGATTTTTATACTGTTAAAAAAAGTTGGTATAGATAGTTCCATTAGTTCAGGGGCAGTGGTCCTGTCAAGTTCAGACTTCATGCTTTTTGCTCAGTAAAACCCAGACTTTGGTCCTTGCTCTCATGGCCTTGGTTGCAGTTGTACCCATGATCTAGATCAGTGGTTCTCAACCTTCCTATTGCTGTGACCCTTTAATACAGTTCCCCATGTTGTGGTGACCCCCAACCATAGCATTATTTTTGTGGTTACTTCATAACTGTAATTTTGTACTGTCTGAATCATAATGTAAATATATGATACGCAGGATATCTGATATGTGACTCCTGTCATAGAGGTCGCAGCCCACAACCACTCTTCTTAGATAGCAGGATAGCAGAAGGGAGAAAGGTTGAGTGTCCAGGGTGTTTTCTGGAATCTGCCCCACATCCATAAGTATCACTGGCTATTATGTGTGCCTGCATCTCACCTAAGAAGTGCTCCGTAGGATATTTTATGATTTAACTGTGTGTACTCAGAGCTGGGGGTTCTTATGGTCTGGGAAAACTGAGGGAGGCTGCCACCCCGTTCACGCTGCCTGGTATCCCCAACGTGAATTGTTCATGCTCAGGGTCTGAGGGCCTGGGAGTGAGTGAGTTTGTTTCTTAAGCTACCTCTCCTCAGTGGATGGAACTCCCGCCTTACCGGTGTTCCATGCTTAACTCAGTTCTGTTCTGGCTGCTCTGGTAGATTTGGCCTCCCTTCTGCATTTTCTGCTTCTTCCATTTTAACATTTTCAAACATTTTGTTGGATGCCCTTTCCCTTTCTGTTCCCTTTGTCCTTGGTGCATTTCCAGCACTTTACCCCTTGGCGGGTGTTGCTAGGGATTATCCCAGAGCTTTGTTCCCTGCTGTTGGACATGTTCAGACCCCCTTTTTTTTTTTTTTTTTTTTGAGACAGGGTTTCTCTGTGGCTTTAGAGGCTGTTCTGGAACTAGCTTTTGTAGACCAGGCTGGTCTTGAACTCACAGAGATCCACCTGCCTCTGCCTACCGAATGCTGGGATAAAGGCGTGCGCTGCCACCACCCCCACCACCCGGCTCAGACTCTTTTAGTAAGTTTTTGGGAGGCAGCAGAGAAGAGCACTTATTCAGATTTATTTTTAGCAGGAGACTCAGCTCTTGGAAGTGGGTTGGGTCATTTATGTCCCCATAGTCAGGTTCTGAGTTTTTCTCCCTCCACATCCTTGCTGGTCCTTGTTGGCCAACAGTCTGACTTGTTGTTGGCACTCGAACTGGGGATGTCAGGTAGTATCTGTTAGTGTGCTGAGTGAAGCCTGATTGCATGTGTGCTGGCTACTCAGTACCTTTTTCTAGTGTCCATTTTCCTTCACTGATTTGCAAAATGCTTTTCTGAATATTTTATTTATTTTTCCAATGCCCAGTCAATTTTGCATCTTCCTTTTTAATTGTATTTATGCTACCTTTTACCTCACATAAGTTCTCTCAGAATGTTCTAGTCTTATAATCTGTAGTTCCATTTTTGTACATTTTGAATGTTAAGCATGCAGTATATGTTGTTTCCCCCTGATGAGACTTGCTCACTGTTTAAACCCTCCCTCCCCTCCTCCTCTTCCTCCCCTCCTCCTCTCCCTTCCCTCCTCCTCTTCCTCCCCTCCTCTTCCTCCCCTCCTCCTCTCCCTTCCCTCCTCCTCTTCCTCCCCTCCTCCTCTCCCTCCCCTCCTCCTCTCCCTTCCCTCCTCCTCTCCCTCCCCTCCTCCTCTCCCTCCCCTCCTCCTCTCCCTTTCTTCCCACTGGGTGTGCAGATCCGTCAGGGCTCTTATTTCCAGGCCAGCGCTGTAGCACCAAAGTGCGTTCCTGCCTCCTTTTACAAACAAAGCCACTGTCTTGCTGTGTGCACCCCTTCTCTTAGTTTGCATTGACTGCATCCTTCTGCCTTGGGTGTATGACAGTCGTCCGTCATCGTCGTCCCTCGCGCCCCCGCCCCTGGCCAGGGTTTCTCTGCATAGCCCTGACTGTCCTGCAACTTGATGTAGAGCAGGCTGGCCTTGAACTCACAGAGATCCACCTGCTTCTGCCTCTTGAATGCTGGGATTAAAGGTGAGCGACACCATACTTGGCAGATGATAGTCTTAATAAACATCTTTTGTGTAGTATTAGTAGTTTGTAGTGTTAGGGTCTTTTCTTTATTTCTTTATTTGTTTATTTTTGTTTTTGACTTTTCAAGATGACATCCCTCTGTGTGGTTCTTGCTGTCCTGGAACTTGCTCTGTAGACCAGGCTGGTCTTGGACTCAACAGAGAACAACCTACCTCTGCCTCTTGAGTGCTGGGACTAAAGGCGTGTACCACCACCACCTGGCTTCAGTTTTGTTTTTTTAAATTGAGTCATTTTAGACAGATTTTATAAAAAAATGAAGTTGATGGGGCCTGGTGGATGGCCTACTGAACAAGAGCACTCACTGTTCTTGCAGAGGACTGGATCTGTGGTTCCCAGCACCATGTAGGGCTGCTCACAATTGCTTGTAGCTCCAGCTCCAGGGGATTCAGGGTTTCTGGCCTCTTCAGTGAGCACGTGAGCATGCACACACAATCACACAGGCAAACACTTAACTAAAAACAATAAACAGTCTTTAAAAATGAAGCTGATGGACCTAGTTTTGTAATGTCTTAAGTATCCGAACTGTTTTCCAAACATTTATATTTTAATTTTTTGAGACAGGGTTTCTCTGTAGCTTTGGAGCCTGTCCTGGAACTCACTTTGTAGACCAGCCTGGTCTCGAACTCACAGAGATCTGCCTGCCTCTGCCTCCCGAGAGCTGGGATCAAAGGTGTGCGCCATCACCACCTGGTCATGTTTCAATTATTAAGAAAGAAAATGCTGTGATTCCATTTTACTTTATAACTATTGCTTACATTTGGATTATTGGTTTAGGAATAGAGAGGTAATTGTGATAATATTACACTAGTGATATTGCTGCTGTGAGAGAGAGGGTTAGCTATCTCTCCAGCCCCTCCAAAACACTTAAAAAATTTAAATTAGAAACAAGCTTGCTTCACATGTCAATCCCAGCTCCCTCCCCTCCCCTCCTCCCCCCACCGCCCACCCCCTACCAGCCCATCAACTCCCCACCCAATCCCTACTCTGCTCCCCAGGGAGGGTGAGGCCCTCCATGGGGGATCTCCAAAGTCTGTCATATCATCCGGGGCAGGACCTAGGTTCTCCCCCGTGTGTCCACCAAAACACTTTTAAGATTAGAATTTGCCCTGTATCTTTGATATTCTCAAAGAAATATATTAATGGCTAGTTTTTTTCCATATGGA